TTTATAGATATTCATTATCACAAATAAAATTGCTGTGCTGCAGTTTTGCATCAAATAATATTTTCTCAATCTCCTTTTAATGCCGCGAAGTATTGCTGTCTTTAAACCTTTCAAGTTAAAAGTTAATAAAATTGTTTTGCAAATATTTTCTCAGTCACGGCATTTCTTAATGTCAAGTTACATTATTTACACGCAGATCTTTCGCTTTATATTTCAGAGTGTAATTATGACGAGTGTTTCAAAGTATATAATTCAAAGAAAGTGCAATACCTCTTTAAGGACGCTCACGAAATAATCGATAAAAGTTATTAGAAACATTTATACGATATTCATTATCGAAAAATTATATATGTATAGCTACGCTGTATGAATAAAATATTATAATGCATATTGTCGACATGTAATAATCATTAAAATGTCGTTTGAGAGACACTGCAACGAGCAAAGTTAAATACCCATAAAGGACGAAAATAAGATAAGTCAAGGAGAGAGTTTAACGAAGGAAAATTGCCCTAATTAATTTCAATGTAATCGGAAACAACATGGCTTGAAATTCCTTCCGTTTTACTGTCTTTGTTACATCTTTTACATGATTATCTATATTCTTCATATCCCTAATATCGAATCGGTTAATTCCAAAATTTTCAGTTGCCCGGAAAATATCATACGATGTTTTATATATATATTGTATATCAATTTTTAATATCTTAAAGAAAAGTTTGTGAAATATATGTGAGCATCCCGCTCGTGCAATCTTTTTATGCAAAACATCGTCTCATCGCGTCTTTCGTGGCGCAAAAATCTTCTATGCCCAAGATACGATAAATCTAAAATTTATCGTCTGGAAAAAATTTATGAATTAGAAAAAATGTGTATTTTAGGAGCTCATAAATTTTGAAAGCTTTTCAATATTTATGAGTTCCTAAAACACATGTTTTCCCAAAATAAACAAGAAGTATATATATTTACAATAAAACAGTATAAAATTATAATTAACTCGACAATATTCAAAATGAATACGTGATACGTTTGCATGGTATTGTTACAAAATTGTTTACTCTTTATTAAATCTTTAAATGATCCTTCAATATCCAAAAAAACTAAATAAAAAATATACATTTAAGATAATATAATATTAAATTATATAAATTTGTAATTTTTTTCATTTATTATATGTAAAAAAAATTCAAGAATGGTTGTACAGATTTACAAAAAAAAACATAAAATCTATAACAATCGCTTAAAGATTGCATAAATAGTATATATACACGAGATCAAGTGACACAAAAATTTTTCAAAGTCTCGCTTATTGTGTTATCCGATTTTGAATAATATGCACGCATACTTTTCGTGATGACGGCTGCATAAATTATGTATGAGCTGAACCTATAACGAAAGCGGAGTTTTCTCGCGTACAAAACCGCGCATAAGATGCCGACAACATTAATGCATGAATACAATGTACTCGTTGCTTTATATATATAATTAATGTAACATGTAATTTATAAGTCATAATTTATGAATTATAATTATAAATATATTTTATTTATAAGAACTATTAAGAATTATATAAACATAATAATAATATATATTTATATATAATTATATATGTAAATATATATAAATATGTGTGTATTTCTATATTGTATGTATATATGCGTATACAATCATAACTCAATATAATTAGAATTAATTGTATCGCAATAATTAGCAATTCTGAGTTGGTCAGAAAGTGAGTGCAGCGTGCGAAATATGAAAACTCATTAATATATCCACAAATTGCAATATCATCTCATTAAGAAAGAAATATTACGAAAGAAAAAGAAATTCTTTGTTCTCCACGAATAATTACTAAAAACAATCTCTATGGAATCATTATTCGATTATCGATGCAACTATATACTTTGCTTCCTCGATAACGCGATGCAACTTTTTTTGCAGCAAGTTAGTTTTATCACAATTTATTTTTCCTATCTTCTTACTTAATAATTACCATCATTTTTATTGTCGCACTCAATAGTACCTATATAATTCGCGTCCGCAAACGTTTGCTTCTTTTTTTACATTTGCGTTCAAAATATAAAACAGATTATTAAGAAGTGTGTTAATCACAGATGGGTCCACTGAAAAAATTTTCTTCAAATGCATACTTTATAAGTCCTCTTAATAGATATTCTTAATGAATAAGGATATTTTCCTCTTTACGTGATGCTTTTTGAAATATCTTTTTATATATTTTTAATTTATTTTTTTTTGCAAATTAATAAAATAAAATTATTTAAATTATTTAAATTTGTAACAAATAAGTTTCAATTAATATTAAAAATAATAACATAATAATACACTGATAAAAAATATCCCATTAAGTATATACATATATTCTTGTATTTTAAGAATATTTAATAAGAATATCTCTTTAAAGAATTTTCCTCTGAAATTAAAAGGATCCTTTTGGCGCCTATTTTAGTGGAAGATAAAAATATAAGTGGCATATACTTAAGATAAGAATACAATTTTTTCGGTGTCACGAGCTCGAAAAAATTCCGGAAATTCGCAAAGATCGAAGATCGCGGATGTAACGAATCGGTAATAGAATTTTTCTCTACCTTCTCCTCTCGTTTACGATCTTTCCGTCGCTTTCTCTTGAATGAAACGCGCGTTTCACGACGTTAGCGACACTACACGCATGCACTCGTGCGTGCCGCACGTGCTGCATACGTAATGTGCATCCAACAAAGCGAGACGCAAGTGCATATCGCCAAATCACAACGGGTGGGACACGACCTAGTGTTAGGCCTGCACCCCCTTGTAATCCTCGGGAAGGATGTCTGAATCATCGATACCCGGGAAAAAATATTTTATATACAAAGATATAAAATTATATAGAAATATATAAAATTATACATACAATTGCAAAATTATATAATGAAATATGTCCATACATAATTAGATAAAAGTGCTTTTTATATATAATTATATAAATTATATATATATAATAAATAAGTATTTCTTCATATATATATAAATATATTTATATATGAACCCTTTATAATTTATATATAAATTTATATAATTATGTAATAAAAATAGACATATTTCACATATAATTTTATGATTATATGTATTAATTATACAATTATTTATATATAATTCTATATAAAAATTTTTTCCCCGGTGTGGGATGAAAAGTTATGCGCGAGAAGTTAATTGCTTTTATTTGCTCGACAAATGGATTAGAATGTATATAATAAATTAAGGAATACGTCGAATATTTTTTTCTCCCTTAACTTTGGAAATATTTCCTCGCGTGGGAAATTTAAGAGGAATGTAATTCTTGATACGCATATGACATTATGACATTTCGAATTATTCGAGAATAACATTTCCGAATGGATTTGCAGTGGATGTAAAGAAAGGTTTTTAAAAAAATTCGCTATATCACAGAGCAATATATTATTAGAATATGTTAATTATCGTGGAGTCGACAGAGCTGAAACTCTGCATCTGATTCCCACCCACATTCATTAAAAATATACATCTCGATATAAATGTTTGCTATCTATAAAGTGGCAATGAATAGCAATAATTATGCGCTATTGCGTCATTCGTGTAATATTCTCCACCCTCCCTAAAATCGCACATTATTACTGTGGCTCGAATTACGCCGGAATTACTTGGACTGCAGATAAAAGTGATGATAATATAGATATTCTGCACGTTGGTTAAACGTGCAGAGACGAGGAACGCCCGAGGGCAACGATTGAACGTCGCGCGAAAAAAAAAGAAGTATCCTTTCCGGTGTAATATTACGTGTTAACGATATCGTTCATTATGGAAAAATGTCTTTTAAAATTGTAATAGTAGCAAATCAATAGTTTGTTACGTTTTAAGAGAGAAAGAGAAAGTAATCAGTACATAAATTTATTGTTATTATTAGACAAGAATTGTTTCTAATTACAAAAAGTCGTATGCAAGTGTGTTGGATCTTTTCGTAAAAATATTCAATTGGAAAAAATTCTTATGCATGTGTGTTCTAAATTCTTATAATTATATTCGAATAAAAGAGTTTTATTTTTTCTGTATTTTAATGTATATTTTATGATTGATTTCACTTTATTTATAATTATGATGTAGTCGTCGTACAATGAATGTTGTGATTGAAAAACATAAAGAAAAAATCTTTTGCGTTAAAATATGCATTAGTTTTATTCTTCAAAAAATACAGAAATGTATAATAATTAATTTTTAAATAATTTAGTTCTTTTGAACAAAAACTCATTTATGCACGAGTTCTAATATTTAATCGCACAATAAATTGATTAAAAGATATTCATTTATAAAATATTCTTTTAAAATATTTTTATATAATCTTGCAAAAATTATAATAATATATATCTTTTTTATCTTCCCTAATCTTACATGTAATATGATTTATTACATATATATAAAATGTAGGCAGCGTATTTGAATCAAAATGTTTTATACATAACCCGCGATTATAATAAACTTATCTGTCTCTTTCTCTTTATCCCTTTACGATGCGAGTCACAATGTAAATAAAACCGTGCCACGCACGTAAAAACGTAAACATACTTGACGCAGATTTCTTATATGTAACATTATACAATCCTGCAATAGAGACAGACGCGTGCCTCGAAAATCAAGTCCATTACTTACGTAGTCGTACACGTGTTTTAACCTCTCTCTCCCTCACTTTTTCCTTCTCTCTCTTTCCCTCACAAGTGTCACATTTTATAATTATTCAACCAGACAAATACTTCAAAACAAGTGAAGAAATTTCCAAGTATGACAAGTTTTCGGTAGGCTTACAATTAGATAAATAACATGAAAAAAAGAGAAAGAGAGGAAGAGGGAGGATCTCATGCGGGTTAAATTCCCGTCGAAAAAAAAAAAAAAAAAAAAGACGACATAAGTACGTGAATATACGGATATAAGAAGGTAGAAGCGAGAAGAAAAAAAAGCGAAAAAAAAGCACTCACCGGCAATGGCGACGAACAGGAAGAATATCCACGTATCCATGAGTCTGGCGATCGAGAAGAAGCCGCTTCTGCTGGCTGGGAAGACTCGCCTCCTGTCCATCACGCACCGAGACGCATATCTTGTCTTCTCACTCGAGATATATCTGCTCCTGCTCCACTCGTTTGCACGAAACAAAATCGCGGGCGAATTCGGCAGAAGAGAAAAAATCCTTTCGCGATCCTTCACCGACGCTACTTCGGATGAGGAATCGTCCTGTGTTCTCGCGCTCTTTCACATCGTATACTCACACGTTCTCACAGGGCAGGTGCCTCGCACACCACTAACGAGCGAAATCAAACCAGACCGGAGCGATGAAGCAAGACGACGAGGACGACGAGGACGCTACTCGCGACGCTCCTCCTCGCGGAGAGGAGCGTGTCTACGCGTGCGTAGATACGCACCGTGTTACTTTTACGCACTCCCGTCGTCCGCGTGTGCACATATACGATGTATGTATAACGCGAATATAGGTATATATATATATATATATCGCGTCCGCTTACAATTGCCTATGTTCACAGCGCACACGGGGATACGGAGCGAAGTTAACGCACTACCGGCGCCGAAACGGAACGCACAGAAACGACGTCGGCGCGTTTCACGAATTCGGAGCACGAGAGACGACTGATTACGCACACGATAACGAATGAGACAGAGAGAGGACGCGGAGAGAAAAACGTTTCTCGACGACGCGAAGCGCGAGCGGCGTGTGCACGGCCGACCGTCGATGCTCTCACCGCCGCGTTGCCCGGAGTATTGACCGACTCGGCGCTCGGCGCGCCGCGCAAGTCGTGGCGAGGCGACGGAGTGGGGATAGCGCGAGGCGGCGGAGTGGGGATAGCGCGCGGCGCCGGAGTGGGAGGCAGCAGGCATGCTCAGTCAGTGCCGGACCGACTGCCTCGCGGCGTAGCTGATCTCGCCGGTTGCGCGCGCACGTCCAATCTCTCCGACGACTTTTCTCTCTCCAGCAGCCGGCCGGCGCGACACTGTATGTGAGTACGTGTATGTATGCGTGTATACGAGAATTAAAATCGAAGCGGACTGCGGCTACGCGAGAGTGTCGTTAAACCACACTTCTCATCGGTAACAGTTTAGATTGGCTGTCGTCGATATATCTCAATGTCCTATATGTTCGTATAAATATTAATGGAAAAAAATATCGATATATACTGCGCTTCATATATTAAAGTATTGTAAAGTTTCGACAAAATCGGAGAGGACGGAGTAGTCCTTCTGTATTAGGTATCAAAGAAAGTACTTTTTTTTTTTTTTTTGTAAAATATCAGGGTCTCTTGCAACATCGATGTTTGAGAGGAATTTTATAAATTACCAGGAAAAGAGGAAATAAATATAAAAGATTGACATTTTTATCACACTATCAGAAATATGAAATATGTCACAGAATAAAAAAAAATATTGCTTTCAATAATGAAAGAATACATCATTGATACTGTTATTTTTCACGTGATTTACTACAGAAGAGAATGTAGGATGTCTCTGTATGAAAAAATAATTGTTAAACAATTTCAAATAGAAACAAGAATGGTTAAATCAATTTTTAATCATTTATATGAATTTATCTCTTTATTCCTTCCGTTGTGTGTCAACTATAAATCTGCGAGAATTATTTTCACAAAAGACTATTTAAATGCCTTTTATGTTCTATTTAAATCTTTTTTATAGAATTGAATAGTACGTGAAAAAGTATATTTAAAAAAAAATACAAATGAGAATAATGCCATAAAATTATCTTGCGCATATTTTTTTGTAATCTTATAAAATATATAATCCACAAAAATTCTTAATACACATTTGTATATACGATTTGCATTGCGTAACAATAAATTTTTCTTGATATTCTCGAGTAATTATACTCTCACTTGTGGGAAATATTTATTCGTAATAACCGAATTTTTGGATAACTCAATTAATCTGCTTAACAATGTTAACAATGTTTGTAGTTACGGTCGCGTGGAGTTTATTTGACAGAATTGTCGCGCATTCCCACCACATTCGCACAACATACTATTATTTACGCATAATACGACAGTCCGATACTTTTCCCGGCATTTCCGATACAAATTTTCTCACGGGCGATATATTTACTCTCGATAATTTTATTAAAAAGTTCGACAATACGAAATCACGTAGAAATTCACTCGAACAGAATTGTCCGCACGTTCGCGCTATTGACTACGATACACCGTATTGCGTATAATACGATAGTCGTCCGATATTTTTCTCGACATTTTCCCGATACTACACATTTACTCGCGGGCAATATTTATTCTCAATAACTTAAAACTCTTTCAATTGCGATTAAATCTTTACACGCCCACAAGAGTCGTCCCGCGCCGCGAAACACTAAACTTTTCAACTTTTGATCAATTCCGGAATTCCGAGATATCTGCTTCGTCAAATATAATTGTCCGAATGGAAATTAATTTCGCGATACTAAATATCTGATTAATATTTATTACAATAAAAATATTAATATGTATATAGTAAAATTAGTCGAACATATTTTACATCTTATTATGGTAGATGGTAATATTTTTTATTATGGTAAAAATATTAATCCGGATAAATTCAAGATAAATTCTAAGAATATATTTTTCTCTAACATAAATGTGTGATAATAAAATGCACGAGTAAATCCTGAAAATTTTAAACTGATCAACGATCCAGACAATACTCTTACCATATACTTAAATAAGAAACTTCTCCGAAAAATACGAAAAGGCCGTGCGCACAAAAAATTGAGGGAATTCTCGGAAACTCAACCCAACCGCTTTGTTTATATACACATACGTAGGTGCGATAGAGTGTGTCTGTGTGTGTGTGTGTGTGTAGGTGTTAATCGTCTGCTATTTAGAATAAAAATACACATGTATATCTCTACGAGATCGCGCGGAAATAGAAACAAAATAAATGTACATATAATTTTTAAAGAGGACAGGACAGAAACCTATGAAAGAATAAAGAGCGAAACGATGCATTCGATATTTATTACGTTTCTCAATTTTTGTATCGATCAAAAGCTAAATTATTATTTCGAATACAATTTCGAAACGTTAAAGTTTTACATTTTAAACGAGATAATTATGAATAACGCGACAATTAGTAGTCATTAATCTTTTGCATATATGCGTAAATTAACGCGATATTAATATCGTCGTTTTGAAAATATTTGTTATTCGAAATTTTCGATTGTTTACGCGAATAGTTATATCCTTGTTCAAGAAATGAAAGATATTGACTGTGACAAACGCACAAACTGCGACATATAAAAATATTTGATAAAAATTTGAAACAGATTGTTTTATCAACTTTACTTTTCCAAAAAATGTAAAAGAGATATGTTTGTTTATGAAGAACGATATTTTTTCCAACAGAGGTTTCGATCTCTAAAAATGTCTCGAAAATACCCGAGTTTAATAAAAAAAAAACTTTGAGAGGAGGGCTCTTATACTGAACAATTTACCTGTACATCGAAGATTAATTCAAGTAAAATTAATATACAAGAAGAATGTTCCATAATCTGTTCTGGCATTCCCGATTATTAATGAGAAAACGCATAAAGCTCGGCGATTAGCGAAGCGGTAAAATATGGTCGTATCCGAAGGTATAACGTCTCCCTCTGATATAAGCGCACAATTAATGTCGGAATAAAGTCAAGACAGGGGGATAAAAGCGTTTAAAAATCCACCGTATTCTCGGAGGTTGCCCCAGATGAGATGAAAAGTTTTATCGCTCTTGATATCGCGATATAAGACATCACACGCCGACACTCGGCCATTGTCAGGAAAGAAAGAATTCTCCAGGATAGTGACGCGATACGGAAACTCAGGCGAGAAAGAGAGATAAGGACTGTTGGACCTTTTGTTAAGACACCTCCCCCTACATCAGACACGACGTATACGGGTTGCAAACATTATTCTCTCTCGCCACCGCGGATGACCTATTTTTTGGGGATTTTTTTTGTTTTCTTTCCACATGCAAATGTACACAATTCGCCTCGGAGACACGCGCGGAAGCAGAAACGGAATAATAGTCGGAAACGTAATGCATCAAGCGGGACATATTTTTCCGATATTCCACCTTGATATCTCGTCGACATATTGCGTCGACGAGAAAAGAAATCAATGGACACGAAACAAAGGGAGAGAGTGAGAGAGAGAGAGGAACAATCGATGACGTTTCGAGAAAACGCGTGGGTCCTCTTCGCTGCATCTCTGTTGTATTACACGAGAGATTGATTTATTCATCGTAAAGTTACTTCGACGTGTATTTTAAACGTATATGCGCATGCGAATTATAACAGATGCTGTATACAATGAGCGTCCGCGGAACGCTTTCCGATCAATATTTTGAGGATTTCGCGTATTTCTAAAAGCGCTCCTCGTGACACGAATTTGCTCTCAAATCCGAAGGACGGATAATCCTTCTAGGTGTCATCCCGGGCGACATTTAACCTCTCTGAATAAAGAGGACTGAAACGAAAAAAATGTATATATACATTCATACATTCTTTATGCGTATCAATCTTTCTCTTCATTTTTGGACTTTTATTTCTCACGTCGGCATTTATCGGAATTGAGATTTCTAGCAAACACTCATACTTCACGAAAGTCAATCATGTGTGTATGAATAATAAAAATGAAATACATATATATTTAAATAGACATATAATCGATATATAATAAGAGAAAGCACTTACAATATTAATATTCACATCTGTAACTCTTGAAATTTTACTCATTTATGCACGGAGAACATTTTACAGTACAAAAAATATATTTCATAACATTTTATTAGAAAGCTAAGTAATATAACATTTATTACTATAAAAATGATAAATTACGCATTTATTTTATTGTTCAATGATTACGCATTTGTTCGTGCGTTAAAATATTTGAGAATAATTACAATATTCCTTTGTAAAATTGTAATATATTTTATTCAATAAATATATCGTGATTTCTCTATGTGTGTTATAGTAATCGTTTCACGATTACAAAAATTGCAGTACAATTTTGACTATACTATTATTTTCTCCGCGTGTTTTTATTTCTCAATATTTTCTGTCGTCTTTCTATACACATTTTGACGTCTCGTGTAATTTCAGATTGAGTCTATGTCTTTTCCCTATTATATGTATTTAAATGTACTAATATTATTCGTCAGTTGTATGTGCCATTTATTTAACTCTTCTCCGGGAAAGTCGGTGTATTAGCGGTTGCACACAGAGACCGTTTCTCTCTATTTAATCTTCATTTCTCATCATATTATCACATGGCATACAGCAAAGCTAAGCACGAAGGTAGACATCCACTCGAGAACGAGTGCAGATAAGAGAGACTAGATGTATTTGAACTGGCACAGCAGTCTGTCGTGGAGTATCGTGATACCCAGTTAAAAGTAGCTTAACATTTATAAAAACTCAATATCCTCTTTGAATAAAAATAGTAGGAATTCTTTATTAAATTTGTGTAACGGTTTCTAAAGGATTTTTCGTAGCTTAAAAATAACGAGTTTACGTTTGCGAAATTAATCGGAATTTAGAGAAATTATTAGTTAATGGTGTACGCTTTTGAAGAATGCAAATTAAATATGTCATTTAATGCAAACAAAGAAATATCCAATGATATTGGAGAAGAAGAGAAGGAATATGACCGATACAAAATAAACGTAATAAAAATGACGTGTGAATAAAGGAGCGGTGAAACTTTTGTCTTCAACTTTTATCACTATTTCCCGAATAAATATCTATCCGGCACCTTTCAACTTCCAATGAAAAAAGTATTGTAATTGCAAAGCTATAACTTTTCAGAAGAATGCGTGTGATTTGTACAACAGATTTTTCTCTTTTCGAATCAAGGTTCGATGGAAACCAAATAGTGTAAATACGAAACTAAATATATGGAATAGTTGCAACCCTTTTCCTTGAATTTAACAATTTTTCTAAATTCGTTTTTCATCGATTGATTCC